AGGTTGCAGTGAGCCGAGATCACAACACTGCACTCTAGTCTGGGTGACAGAGCGAGACTCCGTCTCAAAAAAAAAAAAAAAAAAAAAAAAAGGAATGTCTCTGAGGTGAGCTGAGACTCCCTGGCAAGGGACCGGCCCTGGAGCCTGCGTGGCGGGCCCGCTTTCCCTGCCTAGTGCACCCTGCAGGCTCCCTCCACCTTACCCGGCTGGCAGGACCCAGAGACAGGGTGGCAGAGTCCCTCTGGGCATTCACAGGGAACCGAGCAGTTGTTTCCATAGAAGCCAGCTGGGCAGGAGGCATTGCAGCTATAGAGTGACATGGAGAGGCAGGCTGAGGGCTAGGGGAAGGGAGGCAGGCAGGGAGAGGGGCAAGGAGATTTCTGGGCATGCCTGGAGGCCTGACCTGGGCCCCTGTACCCTCCCGACCCCAGGACTCCCGTGCGCACCTGGGCCCCCAGTAGCCGGCACTGCAGACACATTCCCCTGTCACAGCGTCACATGCCCCCTGAACACAGGTGGGGCAGGCAGAGCCACAGTCTTCCCCAAAGGTGCCCATGGGGCAGGGGTCATCACACCTGGGTGAGGCAAGACTCAGGGGAGCCAAGACAGGCCTGGCCCCAGTGTGGGGCCCTCCCGTCCGCCCCGGGCTCCTGGACTCGGGACATGGCTGGCCACTCCTCAGCGTGAAGCTCAGGTGCAGATAGGGCCTTGAACTTGGGGCCCAACCCAGCAGGTGACAGGCTACGCGTTTCCAGAGCGGGAGAAGGGCCAGAAGCCTCAGAGGGGAGGGAGCCGGAATCCTGCCCAGGCCCCCAGAACCCACTGCCCTCCCTTGGTCTTCATCAGGAGGGAGGCCCCTGGGGCTTCAGGGTGCATGAACCTGCGTGTCGGGGCAGGGCGGCACTCCCAGGAGAGCTGCTGAGGTGAGGGTCCTGCGGGGAGGTGCGCCCCACCCTGAACAGAATGGTGTCCTTACCTGGGCCTCAGCCAGCCCGGGTCGCAGTGCTGACAGTGGCCGGTATCTGGCTGACAGGCATCCCCATGTCGGCAGTGAGGGCACTGCTGCCCGCAGCTCTCACCAAAGGTGCCAGGCGGGCAGGGCTGCTGGCACTGGGTCCCATTCCAGCCTGGCTGGCAGGACTCACAGCTGCCCGTGTCTGGAGAGCACGGCTCATCATGTTTGCAGTGGCCACAGCTGGGAAGAGAGGGGCTTCGTGGGAGCACTGGGGGGTGGAGGGAAGGAGTGCCCACCCCTTCCAATCCCTGTACTAGCCACGCAGGCCTTCAGGGGCCCTGGAGAGTGTTCGGGTCTCACCTGGGTCACTCAGGCAGGTTTGGGCCTCAATTTCCCCATGTTGTACAGTGAAGAGGCTAGACAATGAGGGTTCTTACAGGACCCATCCCTCTCCTTCAAAGCACCTGCTCTGTGACCACCTTTCCCTGAGTCCCAGGGTCATCAGGAGCCAACAGCCCATCCAGGGCAGCCGAGGCACCACCAACCTGAGGCCCATCTGCCCAGCCTTCCCTCCTGCCCTTTCCCCTCTCTTCCTTCCACACTGAGCTGCCCTGAGATCTGGCATCAATGGGACTCAGTACTGTCTTCTTTTTTTGAGACCAAGTTTACTCTTGTTGCCCAGTCTGGAGTGCAGTGGCGCCATCTGGGGTCACTGCAACCTCCATCTCTCAGGTTCAAGCGATTCTCCTGCCTCAGCCTCTCAGGCAGCTGGGATTACAGACACATGCCACCATGCCTGGCTAATTTTTTTTTTCTTTCTTTTTTTTTTTTTTGAGATGGAGTCTTGCTCTGTTGCCCAGGCTGGAGTGCAATGGCATGATCTGGGTTCACAGCAACTTCTGCCTCCCAGGTTCAAGTGATTCTCCTGCCTCAGCCTCCCAAGTAGCTGGGATTACAGGCATGCACCACCACGCCCGGCTAATTTTGTATTTTTAGTAGAGACGGGGTTTCACCATGTTGGCCAGGCTGGTCTCGAACTCCTGACCTCAGGTGATCCACCTGCCTTGGCCTCCCAAAGTGCTGGGATTACAGGCGAGAGCCACCCCGCCCGGCCCTCGATAGTGCCTTCCACTCCATCATATGAAACACAAAAGATATAAAGTTTTCTCACCCAGAGGTTTCGAAACCTTGGTACAGTCCGTGGGCTGTGAGGAGCCAGGCGGCACCGAAGATATGAGTGGCCAGGGAGCATGACCAGGGAGCGCAAGCACCTGAGCCCCGGCGCCAGGCAGATATGCCATGGCCTTAGATTCTCATAGGAGCCCAATCCTACTGTGAGCTGTGACAGGAAGGATCCAGGTTACATGCTCTTTATGAGAATCTAATGCCTGATGATCTGTCAGTGCCTCCTGTCAGCCCCAATGGGACCACCTAGTTGCAGGAAAACAAGCTCAGGGCTCCCGCTGATTCTATGTTATGGTGAGTCATATAATGATTTCATTATAGATTACAGTGTAATAATAGAAAATCTGTCTTCCATGAAACCAGTCCCTGGGGCCAAAAGGTTGGAGACCACTGTTGTCACCAATATAATTTCACATTATACAAAAGTATGTGTTGTCTCGTTAAGTCCTTATTTGAGGCTGGGAGTGGTGGCTCACGCCTGTAATCCCCACACTTTGGGAGGCCAAGGCAGGGATCACGAGGTCAGGAGTTCGAGACCAGACTGGTCAATTTGGTGAAACCCCATCTCTACTAAAAATACAAAAATTAGCTGGGTGTGATGGCATGCACCTGTAGTCCCAGCTACTCAGGAGGCTGAGGCGGGAGAATCTCTTGAACCTGGGAGGCAGAGGTGGAGGTTGCGGTGAGATGAGATCACAGCACTGCATTCTAGTCTGGGTGACACAGTGAGACTCCGTCTCAAAAAAAAAAAAAAAAAAAAATCCTTATTTGAGGGCTGGGCATGGTGGCTCATGCCTGTAATCCCAGAATTTTGGGAAGCCGAGGCAGGTGGATTGCTTGAGTGAGGAAGTTTGAGACCAGCCTGGGCAACAAAGTGAACCCACTGTCACTATAAAAATTAGCCGGGTGTGTGGCACGAGCCTGTAATCTCAGCTGCTCGGGAGGCTGAGATGAGAGAATTGCTTGAGCCTGGGAAGTGGAGGCTTCAGTGAGCAGAGATGGCGCCACTGCACTCCAGCCTGAGCAACAGAGTGAGACTCTGTCTCTAAAATAAATAAATAAATCCTATTTCAGTTAAATAAAACTGAAATAATATTTCAGTTATATATGTTGGATCAGATGACAATTTTTTTTTTTCTGAGACATATTCTCACTCTGTTGCCCAGGCTGGAGTGCAGTGGACTGATCTCGGCTCACTGCAACCTCTGTCTCCTGGGTTCAAGTGATTCTCTTGCCTCAGCCTCCTGAGTAGCTGGGACTACAGGCACGCCACCACACCTGGCTACTTTTTTGTATTTTTAGTAGAGACGGGGTTTCACCTTGTTGGTCAGGCTGGTCTTGAACTCCTGACCTCAGGTGATCCACCCGCCTCGGCCTCCCAAAGTGCTGGGATTACAGGCATGAGCCACTGCACCTAGCCAGGGATGAAAATTTTTCTTTGAGATGGAGTTTCGATCTTGTTGCCCAGGCTGGAGCGCAATAGCACAATCTCGGCTCAACACAACGTCTGCCTCCTGTGTTCATGTGATTCTCCTACCTCGGCCTCCTGAGCAGCTGGGATTTCAGGCATGTGCTACCACGCCCAGCTAATTTTTTGTATTTTTAGTAGAGATGAGGTTTCTCAGTGTTGGTCAGGCCAGTCTCGAACTCTTGACCCTCAGGTGATCTGCCCACCTGGGCCTGCCAAAGTGCCGGGATTACAGGCGTGAGCCACCACGCCCATCCATGGATGAAATTTCTTACTGTGAGTGGAGCTGGTCAAAGTTTGAAAACCACTGAGTCCTAAAGGGATCTTGCCCAGGACGTCTGGTCACTCGACCCATTCATTATCTACATCTGGCCTGTGAGCAGGACTAGTACTTTTTGCAAAGCAGTAATCAGATGAAATGAGCAGGTGCGGCTGGACGGGGGGCAACAAAGGGTTTTTTAACCTTTTGACTGGGTGCGGTGGCTCACGCCTGTAATCCCAGCACTTTGGGAGGCCGAGGCGGGTGGATCACGAGGTAAGAAGATAGAGACCTATATGGTGAAACCCCGTCTCTACTAAAAATACAAACATTAGCTGGGTATGGTGGGCGCGTCTGTAGTCCCAGCCACTAGGGAGGCTGAGGGAGGAGAATTGCTTGAACCTGGGAGGTGGAGATTTCTGTGAGGCGAGATCGCACCACTGCACTCCAGCCTATCAACAGGGCAAGACTCCGTCTCAAAAAAATAAAAATAAAAAAGTAAAAATAAAAGCGTAAAAATAAAAATTAAATAAATTGTTTTCTTTTCTTGTTTGTAGAAAGTCATTTATGTGCTCACTTCAGCAGCACATACACTAAAATTGGAACGATACAGAGAAGATTAGCATGGCCCCTGTGCAAAGATGACGCAAATTCGTCAAGCATTTCTTATTTAAAAAAAAAAAAAAGGAAAGAAAGAAAGTCATTTATTTAGGGAGAGAAACAGGAGAAAGAGAGAGAAACAGCTAACTCTCAGGCTGAGTGAGAGAATCCACAAAGATGGGATCCAGGAGAGGAAAGCAGCTCCACACTGAGTGGAAGGGAATAGAGAGAGATGGAGTCTAGGAGGGGAAGACAGGCTTCCAGAGAGGGTGTGGAAGGGGGCCCCAGAGGGGAAATCCAGGAGAGAGAAAGACGGCTTCCACTAAGGGAGTGTTCGTGGAAGGGGACCCAAACATGGAGTCCCTGTTTTGTTTTCTTGAGACGGAATATCCCTCTGTTGACCAGGCTGGAGTGCAGTGGGGCGATCACTGCAACCTCCGCCTCCCGGGTTCCAGCGATTCTCCTGCCTTAGCCTACCCGAGTAGCTGGGACTACAGGCACCCGCCACTATGCCTGGCTGATTTTTGCATTTTTAGTAGAGATGGGGTTTCTCCATGTTGGCCAGGCTGGTCTCCAACTCCTGACCTCAGGTGATCCTCCCGCCTCAGCCTCCCAAAGTGCTGGGATTACAGGCGTGAGCCACCGCGCCCGACCGTTCTTTCCCCTTTCACGTCTCTGCTTTGTATGTTTTTTGAGGGGAGCACTGCTAAGCCCTGACCCCTCCTCCTGGCTCCCCCGCCCCGCCCACCTGTGTCCGCCCCGCCCCGCCCTGCTCACCTGTGTCCACTCTGCCTCGCTCATCTGCCCGCCCCGCCCCACTCACCTGTCCGCCCTGCTCACTCGTGTTCGCCCCGCCCCGCCCTGCTCACCTGTGTCCACCCCGCCTCGCTCACCTGCCCGCCCCGCCCCACTCACCTGTGCCCGCCCTGTCCGCTCACCTGAGTCCGCACTGCACCCCGTAGCTCCCGGCCTGGCAAGGCAGCTCGCAGCGCGCTCCGCGGAAGCCCGGCGGGCAGGTGCACTGGCCAGAGGCGGGGCTACATTGGCCGCGCTCGCACTGGCACTGCTGCCGGCAGTTGGGGCCCCACCAGCCCGGCCGGCAGGCGCAGCGGCCCAAGTCCTGCTCGCACGGGGAGCCATGGCAGGCGCAGCGGAAGCTGCAGCGGCGGCCCCACCAGCCCGGCTGGCACACGCAGGCGCCCGTGGCCTGATCACAGCGCGCCGCTGCGGGGTTGCATTGGCACGGGCGGCGGCAGGTGGACGACCACCAGCCCGGCTCGCAGTGGCACACGCCAGTGGCAGGGTCGCAGCGGCCGTGGGGGCCGCACGCGCACGCGAACTCGCAGCGGGCGCCCCAGCGGTCGGCTTGGCACTGGCACGCGCCTGTGGCCGGCTCGCACTGGCCGTGTGGGTGGCAGGGACAGCTCTCGCGGCAGTCGGGGCCCCAGTACTGGCCCGGGCAGCCTGCGGGGTGGGAAGGAAGGGGTCAGCGGGCTCAGGGCGCGCGTGGATCCTGACCCTGCATCCCCTTCACAAGGAAAAGGGGCGCCGGCCCACCCTCCGAGGACCGGGGACCGGGGACAGACCCTTGGAACATCCGGCAGCCTGTCTGAGCAACAGTCACTTCCTGCTCTGCTCTGACCTACAGAAAACCCTTCGCCATGGCTCAGCCTCCCGCCTCCCACTCCAGAACACACTCAGTGATCCCGAGTGGGCAGGGGACTTGCCCAGAGTCCCAGGTAGAGGTGGGGGGAGGGGCTGCCTTCATGCCGCTCCTCCCCGCAGAGATCGATCCCTACTGGGCTGGAGAAGAGCAGGACTCCCTCCCGATCTCAGGCCTGGATGCTGCCCGCCAGGGTGGCAGGAGAAGCAGCCCTTCCCCTAGTGATCCCTTGATTGCTGATGCCCACCCTCCGGCTCTCCTGCTACCCAACCCCTTCCCCTTCTCTCTGTTTCGGCCAGAGAGGGCACACAGCCCAGCAGGACCTCCTTCCCTCCACCGTCCATGTAAAAGACGTATGTGGGAAAGACCAGGAACACAGTCATGTTGCAGTTAACAAGAGTCACAGGTTTTCCGAGAAGTGGAACAGAAAGATACTCAGGTGGGCAGGGCTTTGTGGATGTCGGTGAAAACCCAGTGCCCCAGACCATCCCCCAGGAGTGTGTCACTTCCTGTCTCTGGACCTTGACTCCTCAGAGGCTGGGAGGGGTTCTGACCCTGCTGTCCTGAGGCTGCTCGGTACCTGCCTTGCCTCCCCGACACCACCGCCCCCGTGCCCAGCTCTGCCCAGCAACCTCGTCCTGCCCCTGGGACTCACGGGAGCTGCAGTGGGCCCCAAAGAACCCAGGTTTGCACCGACAGAGGCCCGGCTTCACACACACCTCGTCTTCCTGGCAGGCGTCCGGCCCCTCACAGATGGCTGAAAGACACCCACCCAGGTTGGAAAGATGGGCAGGACCAGGGGACAGCTCCGCCCTCTCACTGGCTCTGGGGGCCAAGCCTCCTCAAGGGGTGCCCCTTCAGGGCTGGGGGCATCGCAGGAGAAAGCCTGGCTCCTGGGTGGGAGGGAAGCAGGCCCCAGGGGGAGGCAGGAGGGGCTGTCGCTGGCTGCGTCCTCCCTTCTCCTTGGCTGGGGGTCTGTCCTGGGTACTCACGGATGCTGCATTCTTGGTCTTTCTGCCTCCAGCCTGCGCAGCACTGCAGCTCAGCAGAGGGGCTGTGGGGCAGAAAGGGGTCAGCGGGAGTGGCGGGGTGCGGCCTGCCCCCGAGCAGCGTGGATCACTGTCTCTGTGAGGTGGGAGAGGCTGCCTTAGCCCCCTGGGGAGGCCTAGTGGACCTGTACAGCTCTGGGGTCCCCAGCTCCTCCCCACTCCTTCCCTGGCCCTTCCACCATCTGCCCTGGCGAGCCACTGCCTGCCAGGCGGCCCCCAGCAGCCCGTCCTTCCAGCGCCAAGACCTCTTCCTACGCCCTCCTTCCCCCACAGGCCTCAGCACCGGCTCAGCCACCCCCGTCAGACTCCCACGAAACCCACCTGCTGGCCACACAGACGTGCTGCCCACTGGGGTCCAGCTGGGACCCCCGAGTCCCCTGAGGCCAGAGCAGCAGCAGTGGGAGCAGCAGCCGCAGCCCCATGGCAGCCGTGCAGGGAGGGCTGGGTTACTCTGGCCCCCACAGCTCCCGACCTCCTCCCTGCTTCCTCCCAGGGCTTTTCCTGAGGAAACCAGGCCGGAGGGGCGGGCAGCCCTGAGGCGCCTCCCTGAGGGGGCGGGGGCTGCAGGACAGACCGACACTCAAAACAAGAAAGGGAAAGGAGGCCAGTGGCAGGCCTCGGCATGGTGGGGCCAGAAGGGTGAAGCTGCAGGTCCCCGGGTGCTGGGACCGAGGAAGCAGGTGGAGCGAGGGTGGGCACCTCGGCCCTCCATCAGACCGCAATCCCAAAGCAAGGACGGGGCTGCAAGAAGCCTCCCCACCCAGTGACTGACCAAGGGCGCCCTGAGGCCCCCTCGGCCTGCCTCTGCTCCTGGCGGGGCTTGGAGGTGAGACAGACATGGACAGACAGGCGAGGGACAGTTTCTGGGAGTTCCGGGCAGTTCTTTATTACAAGAGCTCAGGCCGTCCGCACAAAGCCCGGGGAGCCAGCTCTCATTTCGTGGATGGGGAAACTGAGACTCAGAGAGGCGCTCTGATATCTGGCCCCAGGGGTCTGGTACAGAGTCGTAGAGAGGGAGGTGGGCTGAACCCCCGTGCTGCCCTGGTGCAGGCCAGAACTGGGGAAGACGCCTGGGAGGCCATGAAGGAGGGAGCCCTGTCCTCATGAGGTCGCACATCCAGCCACAGCCAGGTCCCCAAGTCAGGCCTCTGGGGCGGCTGAGGCCCCCAGACAGAGATGTTCCTGGCGGGCAGGATGGGGCAGCTCAGGAGCTGGAGACTGTGGTTGGGTCTCCTCTTCTCCCCCTGGCTTGCCGGGAGCAGGGCTGTGGGTCTCATCCTCTGGGGATTCGGCTTTCCCGCGATACCACAGGCCAAAGCTGGAGAGACAGCCAGAGGCACTCTGCGCCAGGAAGCCGGAGAGGTCCAGGACATGGGCAGAGGGCGGGTGGGGGGGTGAGAACAGGGGAGAGGGGCAGGGAAGGGCAGCCTGAGGGAGTGGGAAGGTGATGGGGCCCATGGTCGATGGTCGGTCGGAGAAGCAGGAGGGGAGGGCCTGCTTAGAGCAAAGGACAGCAGGGTGACAGGCAGGGAAGCAGGAAAGGGGATCCAGGACCCTTCCTCCCTCCCCCACTCTTGCCCTTCCCCTTCCCCCAACATACAAACTCCGTATTTTGGACTCTGGGGGTGGGGGATGGTCATCCTTATCATCAGCGAGCAGGAGCCAGGAGCCATCCTCATCGTCACTGAGACAGGAGAGAGAAGACGTGAGGGCCAGGGATCAAGGCCTGAGGGACACCGGGAATCCAGCAGGGGGGATGAGGGACAGCAGGGCCCCCAGGGCTGGAGAGAAGGCGACCCTGGGGAGATGCAGGATGTCTTGAGGCTTTATTTTTTATTTTATTTTTGAGACGGAGTCTGGCTCTGTCGCCCAGGCTGGAGTGCAGTGGCATGATCTCAGGTCACTGCAACCTCCACCTCCTGGTCTCAAGCAATGCTCTTGCCTCAGCCTCCCAAGTAGCTGGGATTACAGGTGTGCGCCACCACACCCGGCTAATTTTTGTATTTTTAGTAGAAACGGGGTTTCACCATGTTGGCCAGGCTGGTCTCGAACTCCTGACCTTGTGATCTGTCCGCCTCAGCCTCCCAAAGTGCTGGGATGACAGGCGTGAGCCACCGCACCTGATGAGGCTTTATGTCTCAACACACAGCGGCCCTGACACAGCTACGGTGTCACCCCCGTAAGAACAGAGCCAGCCAAGGCCAGGAGCTGAAGGCTGAAGGTGGGGAGGCAGCACTGGCAGGCAGGATAGCCGGCAGGCAAGGCAAGGGGAGCCATGAGATCCAGGGAGAAGGGCACAGCCTGGACCGCAGCCACAGGACCCAGCCAGACCAGGTCAGCAGGCCCTAAAAGTGGCCAGGCTGGGAGGCTCGAGGGGAGAGCACGTTGGGGTGGCAGGGTCAGTCTGAGACAATGGGCTCAGAGGGTGACCAGGCCAGGTCATCAGGCTCAGCAGAACTTGGGAGGGGGCTGGCTCGGTGGGGATGCAGGCAGGGACCCACCTGCTCTCTGCTTCCTCTGGCGTCCCTAACATCTTGGCCTTGATCTTCTTCCGCTGCTTCCTGACAGCCACCTTCATGGCTTCCAGCAGAAGGCCAGGGACCCGGTGGTCGGTGAGCAGCTCCCTGCAGAAGAGGGGCAGGGCAGGGGAAAGCAGTGGAGATGCAGCCGTGGGCCTCACTCCTGGTACCGGTGCAGCGGCTCCTCCCTGGACACCTGAAACCTGTGCCTTGCTGACACCCTCAGACCTTTGCTTAGGTGCCCCTCCTAGGAGAGCTTCCCTGGCGCCTGCAGCGGTGACCCTGTGCACTGTCCCTCTTCTGTGTCTGGGTGACGTTGTGGAGGGGTGGGGCTGTGCAATTCACATCCTCCCACTACCCAGCGAAGGCCTGGCACATGTCACCATGTCACTGTGGACATGTCCATGCCGAGAGAAAGAGGTGGGGTGATCGGAGCCCCTCAGCTTCCCGGCACCCTCACCGCTGGAAGTAGGCCAGCTCCTCCTTGAGCAGGAACGCTGTGGCTTTGAGTTCATTGCGCTCCTGAAGGATCTGCTCAAACTCCTCCCGGCTGAAGCGGCATTGCCCTGCCTCCCGGGGGCGCCCTGGCGGCTGCGCGGCCTCTGCCTTTAGAAGGACAGGCACGGTCAGAGGGTCGCGCTCGAGGGCCATCGCGGGAACGCTAGACGAAGTGACAGGCAGGGAGACTTGGGGGACAAAGTTGCCCCAACAGGTAACAGAGGCCGGCCCGGGGCGCGGACTGCTGTGCCGATGCGGACCTGGCCCGAGCGCCCTCCTGGGCTGGGTCCTTGCCCTCGTGCGACACTCACCGGGTCCTCAGGGGTCGCCGGTTCGGGCTCCTGCCCCTGCTGGTGCCCCGGCCCGCCGGCCTGGCCCCGCGCTCGCTCTTCAGCCGGCGGGGCCGCGCCTCCTCCAGGCTGCTGGCGCTCCGTCTCGCGGTCTTGCGCGGCACGCAGCTGGGTCTGCACAGCCGCCAGCTTCTGCCGCAGCTCGGCGTTCACCAGCAGGAGGCGCTGCAACTGCTCCTGCAACTGGGGGCGGAGCAAAGGGTGGGGTAGGCAGGGCGCCGCGGTGCCCGGGGCCCCGCCCCGCCCCGCCCCGCCCCGCCCCGTGCTCACCGCCTCGGTCTCCTGGCCGCGCTGCCGCAGGTCGCGGCTGTGAGCCCGCAGTTCGTCCCGCTGTCGGTCCGTCACCTCCTTGAGCTGCCGGAGCAGCTCGCGCTCCTCTGAGAAAGGGGCGTTCTTAGCGGCGGCGTGCGGCCCGCGGGAGGAAGGAGGACCCGAGCTGGCTGCCACCCGCCCGCCCTGGCCGGGGCTGCGCTCACCCTGCGGCCCGGCGCTTAGCTCCCAGCGGAGGCGCTCGTTCTCCTCCCGCAGTCGCCGCAGCTCCCGCTGGGCCAGCAGCGCCGACACCTGCAGCTGGGGAGCCCAGGTCTCAGGCTTCCGCCCTGCCGGCCCCGCGGGTGGCGAGGGGAGGGCGGTGACTTACCGAGTCCGGGGCGGGCCCCACGGCAGCCTGTTCCAGGAGCTCCAGCGCGCGCACCACTAGCGGCACCAGCCCGGCCGCCGCCTCCGGCCCGAAACGGCGCGCCAGCTCCTGCAGCTCAGTGCCCAGGGCCCCGGCTAGGTGGTACACAAGCTCCGCCACCGTCCCCGGCCCCGCGGCCCCTCGAGGGCCCCAGCTGGGCGCCTCAGGCGCCGCCCTCCTGGGCTCCATGTCCCCCAAAGCCCTGGGGCCCGACCCCCCACCAACTGGAAGAGGGAAAACCAAACAGTTCCGGCCCAGGAAGCCTTTTAGGGCGGTGGGGGCGGGGTAGAAGCAAGAAGGGTGGAGGAGCGAGGGAAGGAGGCTTGGGGAAGGGAGATCGTGCCCTAGGCCCCTGGGCCCGTCTTTCCACTCCCAAGGTCACAGGAAGCAGGACAGCCACCTTCCAGCCAGGCGCCAGGAGCTGAGCTCAGGGCTGCCTGTGGTCACTTGAGTGGAGCCCTCCCACAGGCCCGATCCAGGCTCCGCCCCCGTGTTTGGAGTCATGGGGACAACTTGGCAGCGGCGCGCTCCGGGGAAGAGGTGACAGGTAGGCGGCGGGTCACTGGCCTCCGCGCGGCTGTACACAAACTGCCTGCCTGTGTGCTTGTTTGCCTGATCAGGAGTGACCAGAAAGCTTAAAGGGCTGGGCTGGACACCCCAGCACTCAGCACAAGCCACGGAACTCCGAGACCCGGGAAAGGGCAGCGCTAGCAGAGCTGTGGAAAGGAGGCGAGGCCTTCCAGTGCTGTGTTGTCGGGAACCAGCCAATGTGGCCCAGGAAGCAGTGTGAAAGCCCCGCCCCGCCCCGCCGCAGGTCTCCACCCAGTCCGGGGGTTTCTAATCCCAAGCCCCGAATAGGGAGGAAAGGGCCTCAAACTCCCCGTCAACACGGCTGGGCCCAGCATCTTGCCGTGAACTGCCCAGCCCTGCCACCTGTCAGACCTAAATCCAGAATCTGAGTTCAGGGGAAAAAAAAAGCCCCCAAACTCCTATTTATACAAAATTTATTACTATATTTTATTCAGGATGAGGCCATCAAGAAGTCAACAACACAATAAGCACACACACAGGGAAAGGGCCAAGCTGCTGAATGTCACCAGCCTGCGGCGGGGCTGAGGCAGGAGGCAGGGAAGCGACTAGGCATAGAGGTCCTCCCGGTCTGCAGAGTACACCTCCCCCTCCTGCAGGAGGGCAAAGTTGAGGAAGTGGGAGGGCCTGTGCACCTCGTGGTAGAACTCTTTGGGGTTCGCCAGCTGCAGCTCGTACTTCATGTTGGGGTCATGCCGAACACCTTAGGGAAGAAGGGAACATCAGATGTTTACGGGCCCTCTGCCTCATGCAGCCAGCTGGGCCCCAAGCATGCAGGGCAATGGCCTCACGTACCCCTAGCGCCACCCCCACTTACCCATGAAGTTGTAGTTCCATGAGGACTGGGCAGGGACCATGAAGAAGCCGAGGAAGCGGTCGGACAGCAGCATCTGGACCCGCTCGTAATGTGAAGGCAGGTAACCCTTGGGGTTGTTGCCCTTGTCTGTGTTCTGGCGGCCCCATTCGTAGCCACTGGGGGTCAGCTTGTAGGCCGTCAGCGTACAGGAGCCTGGAGTGAAGCTGGGGGAGGGCGAGGACACATAGCAGCTCAGGCCACGTTCTGGGCCCTGGCCTGCAGTCCCTGTGCCACCTCACTCCTCCCGAGGAAGCCCAAGCCCACCTGCACGTGATGATAATGGTCTTCTCGCCATCCCAAGATGGGTTGTCAGCCATGATCTTGGCGTGGGTGGTGACATCCTGGGGTGACAACTGTGGGGACTCATTGGGCTGAGTGTGGATCCAGCCTAAGGGTTCCATCTCCTGTAGGCAGAGTAGTAGAGAGCTGTTCAGAATCGCATCCGCAGACAGGAATCGCACCCACGAGGGTAGCACGCCTACCTCGAGGGGCAGGAAGCTCCAGCTCTTCCACACTTCCAAGCTCCGTCACTGCCACTCACCTTGAGGTACTCGTGCTGGGGCAGCTGGCCAGGCAGGTGCACAGTCTGGTGGGTGCCCCACTGCGGCACCATCACGATGCAGCGGATCTCCTTCACCTGCGGGTTATCTGGTGGGCTCACCCCATACAGGTACCCTGCGATCTGGAGACAAAGGGGTCAGGAACCAAAACACTTTTTAGCAGCAGCTCCGAGTTGGAGCTGCAGCCTGTTTCCCTCCTTCCCCCAAGAACGAGGACAGAGTTTCTTAAAATGTGATCAGAACCCTGTCTGAAGCAGCCGGGGACACTTGTTCAAAATGTCAGACATGGACCTCATCTCAGACTCACCACATCAGAATCGCCTGAGTGTGGTCCAGGGATCTGCACTGCTCACAGCTCCCCAGCTGATTATTAAGTACAGTGTTCATAAGCAAACGAGCATACAAACATACAGCCCAATGTACTTTCACAAGCTGAAAACATCTGGAAAACCAGCACTTGGCGGTATTTTTAATTTTACATTTTCAACAAAGAGGATCTGTTTACTATAAACTCACCCACACAGGATATTAAGAATCGTTTCAAATTTGCTGACCTGATGGCCACAAAATAGTGGGTTTGTTTTGAGATGGAGTCTCGCTTTGTCGACAAGTCTGGAGTGCAGTGTGCGATCTTGGCTCACCGCAACCTCCGCCTCCTGGGTTCAAGCAATTCTCCTGCCTCAGCCTTCTGAGTAGCTGGGACTACAGGTGCCCAACATGCCCGGCTAATTTTCATATTTTAAATAGAGACAGGGTTTTGCCATGTTGGCCAGGCTAGTCTTTAACTCCTGACCTCAGCTGATCCACTTGCCCCAGTCCAAAATGGTGTTTTATAAACTATGAATATCCCTGATACACTAGTAAAGTTAAGCGTCTTTTCTCCTTTTTGAAGCAGGGTATCACTGTAACCCAGGTTAGTGTGCACTGGCACAATCTCAGCTCACTACAACCACCACCTTCCAAGCTCAGGTGATCTTCCCACCTTAGCCTCCTGAGCAGCGTGCGCCACCATGCCTGGCTAGTTTTTCTATTTTTTTTTTTTTTTTTTTGGAAGAGACAGCGTTTCGTCACATTGACCAGGCTGCTCTTGAACTCGGGCTCAAGAGACTTGCCCGCCTCCGCCTCCCACAATGCTGGGATTACTGTCATGAGCCACTGCGCCCAGCCTCTTCTTTTTCTTTTGTTAGAGACAGAGATTGGGTCTTGCTGTTACCCAGGCTGGAGGGCAGGGGTGCCATCTAAGCTCACTGCTTGGGCTGCCTGGATTCAAGTGACCTCAGCCTCCTGAGATGGGACTACAACCACTTTTGTTCTTGTAAGAACAGGGTCTTGAACTTACCTGTGCTTAAGCAATCCACCTGCCTCGGTCTCCCAACGTGTTGGGATTACAGGCGTGACCCACCACACACGCCTGATCAGGAATTTTCTGACTAAGTGCCAATACTATGTTTACTACCTTCTCTCAACTTCCACAGCTTTTAATATCTCACGGCGCCCAAAACCCTGCTTGATGTTCTCCTTGTATAATTACTCATCCATGAATCTTGAAACCAGCATCTCAAGTCCCTAATCATTTCAGGTCTGCGTTTCAGGTACAATGTGTTGGGCACACACTGTGGCCTAGCGGGGTCCACTTACTCACTTGGGCCCGAAGATCAGATATGCAGATGAACTTCTTAAGCACATTCTTGGGAAGGATGTAGGTGTAGCCCGTCTCCTTGATGTCATCAGATGAAACATAGATGTGATTGGTCCTTAGGTGCAGGTTGGCAGCAGAGATGGCCCTAAACGCAGGTAGAGAACATCAGCACCGGCAGTAGTGCCAGCGGCCTTTCCATCCCCACATGTTGCCCTTCACAGTACCTGACCCTCCACTCAGTCTTGGATGAGAAAGTCTGGGTCTCGTAGTTGCTGGTGGTGGAGGTGATGATCTCATCGCCATGCTTGTTGACAGTGCGAGTCTGGGTGGCAGTCAGCTGTGACTGTTCCTTGGTCTGCTTCTCAATCTCAGCGATTTGCTGCCGCTGCTGTGATGGTGCCGAGATCTCCATACCCAGGATGATGTCGCGAATTTCCGACTGTGTCAGTGACGCCACGTTCACACTGTGGGGACGGTGTGGGTTATATCACGAGGATCCCTTCCCCTGGTCACTTCTGCCTCAGTGGAAAGGATGTAACTTGGTAGGACAGGGCAGCCTATATTCGTGCCTCAGACAGTCCGCCAGTGCTGCTTCCACAGGAAGTGTGAGATGGACGTGCACTAACACTTCCAAGAGTCATCAGACCCAAGGGGGCAGCAGGCTGCGTGTGGCCCTTCCCGCTGTTTGACATCCATACACCCCCCACTTCCTTGACCAAAACAATGCTCTGGAGTGGAACAATTCTCAGAAATGGAAACCCCAAAAACCCTACAATACTGGCTCTTTAATCAGAGGTGGTACTGTCAGTCACCCTAGGAGGTACTTTGAAATCTATGGACAGCTTCGGCTGCCACGAAGGGAGAGTGGAGGAAGGCGTGTGTGTGTTGGCAGCAGTCTCCAACACTTAGGGTCTCGGATGTTAAAACTTACCACGTATGGACAGTAAAGAAATGCCCTGCTCTGGCCGGGCACGGTGGCTCACACCTGTAATTCCAGCATTTTGGGGGGCTGAGGCGGGTGGATCACAAGGTCAGGAGTTCAAGACAGGCATGACCAACATGGTGAAACCCCATCTCTACCAAAAATTTAAAGGGGGGTGCCTGTTATCCCAACTACTCAGGAGGCTGAAGTAGGAGAATCACTTGAACTTGGAAGGTGGAGGTTGCAGTGAGCTGAGATCACACCACTGCACTCTAGCCTGGGCAACAGAACAACACCCCGTCTCAAAAAA